CCGTCGGGCGACGACCAGGTAGTCCGGTCTGGAACTATCAAATCAAGAACGGTAGCCACCAAGGAGTCCATCCTAAGAGTTGCAAGTCAGTGCATCGACGCCGAAGACCAACCGTTTGACGAGATTGCCATGGATGCCATGAACATCGTCAACCAATTCAAGAACAACCTCATCGAGCCTGGCGGACAAGAACAATACCTGGCCCGCATCAAGCTGATTGACTACATAGTCGAACGCAAAAGGGTGCAAACTTCAGGTTGCCGCCATTGTCCTCACTGTATCAACGAGACGCCGACAAAGCTAGCAGTGTGTCTAGTTTGCTGGACAGAACTTGAAAGTTGCGGGATTCGTCCATATCGGCTACAAGCTCCTGAAGACGATGAAGATGAGGCCACGAAGAAAGAGCTCGATGAAGAAGTTCGTCGACAAGAAGAATCGTTGTTCAAGGATACGGTCAATCAAGCACAAGAAAACGTATCCGAATCCAACGACTATGGCTTCAATCCTGACGAGGTCGACTACAATGAAGGTGACGATGAGGAAATGGATCAGGAGGAGGAAGCTCAACAGGAAGAAGACGAAATCATTGAAGAAGACGATGATGAAATGGACGTCGAACCTGATGATGAGCCTTCTACCAAACTTCCAGCATGGACTAAGAATCTTGAGAGCGGCAGCAAGGGTATGCCAGAAGACGGACTTATCAACAATGATGTCTCCGAGGCCGCGGCTCACTTGTATGACAATGCTGTCATGTCAAAGGTCATCACAATGTTCAGGCACTACTATAACCAGAGAGTCACTATGACCCCAGAGGAGTACCATGTGATGATGACGGAAACCAAGCGAGTCCGGCTGGATCTGGACGACTTCTGCCCCTACACAGGCGAAGACCCGGATGGCAACCTCAAGCGGCCGACAGAGCTGGAATTGGATGAACTCTTTCAGGAGAAAGGGAAAAGGAACTCATGGTCAGAGGGAGAGAAGATGTACTCAGGACGACCAAGAAACATGATGATGCCTGTCATCAAGAATTTGGAGATCTATGAAAAGATGATGGAATTTCTGGTCTGCGCCGGGTACACTCCCGAATCATTGGGTTTCCTCATGCCAATGAACCGAATGCAGGCTGATGCCCAAGGAAAGCAGGAGATGCGAGTGACCATCAGTAATTTTCTTCGACGACTGCTAAAAGGAACCTTTCCAGAACACGAATCATACACCTTCTTTCGCTCCGGGAGCCACGGCTTCCCCAACTGCATTGAACTCCCAGCTTTCTCAGTGTATCTGAGTCTGAGAGAAAAGGAACAGAAAGTGGAACTACTCTTTGCAGCCCAACAATGTGGCATTCCTTTACCTCAAAACTTTGTCAGCAAGATGGCTTATGCTATTCAACTGGCTGAAGCAGAGGCGCAGAGGGGAAAGACCGAGATGAAAACGAAGATGGCTCCAACTCTTGGCGACGAAGTGGTAAGTGAAGTATTCAAAGCAGTCGGACATACTGCCGCTTCCAAGTTTGCTACCGCAGACGCGAAAGCCAAATCATCAGCACAACCTTCACAGAAACCTGAAGGAACTGGTTCAGCATCATCCTCATCGGCAAGCGCGCCAAAAGCTAAAGCTATGCCAAAATCCCATGAACCATCAAAGGCACCGCCTGCGAAACCCTCATCGCCGAAAGCTGCTCCGAAACGTGCGGCAGGATGGGAGAAAACTCCATCAGCACCTCAATGGAAGAAAGTCCGCCGTGACCAGTGAACTTATTACCTCTGTCCATCAAAATGATCACTGGACTACAAGATGTGCATCGTCTTTGTAAACAGATGATCAGGAAAAGACCAACTGAGTGGACTCTGAGCGAGGCAGTAGATTAATTCGCTTAGGTTCAAGACTTTTTGATATTCCCAATTTGCACGAAATTCTGCAATGTGCACGTGAATTCGTTAGTTAGCATCGTAAATCTTTGGTAGCGAAGTGACCCATTTCTCCCGACGGGTGAGTGGCAAGCTTAGCCAACGTAGAAGAGTAGATGTTAGCTAGCAATAATTCGCGTTGTACAGCTTGATGAAGCGCCGATGCATCGACAGCCATAGAGTAGGCGAACCCTGAACCATTATTCCCTTCGGGTATGTGGGGAAGGGGGACCCGAATGGCTTGTTTTATGTACATAGGCGTAATTCAGGTAGCAGAAACATTCTAATTCAAAGTTCCCTCTCTCGTGTCCGTGGTCTGAAGATACCACGGGCATGGGGGGTGTTAAAGGGAACGAGATGAAACAACATGTACAGCATGCAGTGTTAAAACAACATGCTGTGACCGCCAAACATTGGCTCAAGCGTATGGAGAAAAGGGATGCGTCGTGTGACTCCGCATGGCATTTGTCGGCTACCAGTAGCAAGGGTACTACAGGTCTGAAATAACATCCAGAACAAGGATCCATTTGTTCACATAATACATATGTATCATACATGATACAATACACATATACATGTAATACATTGTAATACAATACATTAATGTACATATGAAAACTCCCCATAATCAAGATGCAAAGTCCAGTGAAATCCCCGTGAAATAGTGAGTTTTATCATGATAAAACATGTTTCTATCTTTTTTGGTGCTTACTATCTATGTATATATATATATACATGTATGTGTGTATAATATGATATGCATATATATATATATATATTAATGTGTGTGTTTCTTTGCTGGACCTTGAGCTGCAAGACCTGCCAGGACTTTTTGCTGCTCAAGGTGGGGGTTGAGCGGAAGCGATGAAATGAAGGGTTTGTGCTGGTTGATCGGGGCTTATTATAACAATATACATATGTATATATATATATATGATTTATAAGCCATTGTTCAAGTACATAAACATAACATAAACTGTATCATTGCTTATTGTAACCGTTTATATGTGATTTATAAGCTAATAAAGCCATGATAGGGATACTTTTATACGAAAAAAATGGTGTTTCAATGTGTTTCATGTCATGGGATCAGAACATGACATGCCTCGGCAGGTGATGCTAGTGGGGCACGGTCCCCATCAGTGTGGTACCTCAAGGGAGACACGTGAGCCTGTGACTTAAATAGAGAGTAGCCCTAAGAATTGATCTATTTGCTGGAGTTTGCTGGAGTTTGCTAGTGGCCATAAAACTCAATCGACTATGCGTATCAATTAATCACATTTAATCACCGACTTGTCAAAAAGACTTCCACGTCTCCACGTCTTGATACGTTGCATGGGATGGCCTGTGATACACAGCTCCCACGGAGACCCAGGTGCTGCAACAGATCCCAGAGGCAAGGACTGGCCAGGTCAAGAAGATTCAAAACAAACACATCTATAGTATTGTGTGTATATGTATATGTATATGTATATATTATGTGGGTACCCATATGTTCACACATCTTCGGAGATGTTCAGATGTGCCAAAGACACAGTCAGATTCAACTGCGATTGGAACAGGTAAAAAGAGATCGTTTTGATGGCAGTGACAGGAAGACAATGGCATGTCCTTGCTGGCTTTCTCTGAGGCCATTTCTGTGAGACGGATTTCGATCACCTGAGTTGGGAAGAGAAACTTCCCAGAACTTGAGCCACCCATTCTGACCACTTCCACCGGCTAAAACTTTGGTGACGCCGACGCCACGAGGTTTCTCCCTTGGCACTGGCGACGTATTGCGATGCTTTGGCCAACTGCCAGGTGGGACGAACAGTGGGACGAGAGCAGCTTTGCACCTGGGGTTACCTGGTAGTCGTCAAGTTCGCTGGTAGAGAAGCTGCGAGAAGTAGCGAAGTCCGGGCTGAGAGTTTGAGTAGAGCAAAGTAGCGTAGAGTAGACTGGAGTAGAGTAGAGGTGAGGAGGTGTAGAAGAGATTTAGAAGAGGTAAGAAGGTCGGCGACATGAAACTGCATGGTGGGAGCCTGATGGTCATCGCAAATAGGACCATCAGTCAAGTGATTCAAGATGATTCAAGACCAGATACCACATATCAATCTGCTACTGAATCGGTGAAACAGTGGAAATGTTTCCAGCTTCACAGGACAAAAAAAGGACACGTCCAGGATTTAAAATCCCCACTGAAAAGGCACAGGTCCCCAGATTTCACCCCAGTAGAAAGGCTGCGAAGAAAAAGGCTCTACCATCTCTGTAGATGCTTACCAGTCTACCATCCTTGGAATAAGTGTCCCCAACCAATTGGTTTTTCATGGTTTTTCCAAGTATATGAAGTATATGACTTCTATATGACTTCAGTCGTCAAGTCGACTTCAGTCGTCAAGGCGGTGTTGATAACAGTGCAGCCGCGGGAGAGCCAAGCCAACGGTTTTATCGTTGACCATTGGTGACGCTGCGATCTAACTATCTCGGTGGCTCAACTGGACCAATTGGTACCTTGGAGAATTGGTTGGTTCATGGGCACCAACTACCCTCTGGTAAACTAACATAGCTATTGAAAATGGCCATTTATAGTGGATTTACCCATTCAAAATGGTGATTTTCCATAGTTATGTAAACGTTTACCAGAGGGTAGATGATACTTGCACGGACTTGCAATGGGAAAAAGATTCGTGGTTGGGGTTTCCATACCACTTGAGGCACACTTCAACTGTCCAGCCCAATGGCTCACTACAGTGCAAATTTCCCAAGACACATGTCCTGTTGGAAGCTTGTCAACAGGGCTTTCAACTGTGACCCTGGATGTCACCCACTACTTTCGAGGTGATTTGGACGCATCAACGAAATAGGAATTGAGCATTGACCATAACCAGGACCACAACCTCGCCAATGCCTTGTGCTTGGCATATTCCAATCAAACGGGGCCAAAGGAATAGCCGGTGCCTTTGGAATTCCTCACTGATTTTGGAGTGGCCTACCTGTTTCTACCTCAAGAACAGAATGATGAATGCACGGAATCTTTTGCAAGATATAGCAAACTCTTGTGAAAACCACTCCGACTTTCCATTCCTTTCCAATTCGTCTTTTCGGCTCAGCTTAGCATCAAACGCCCGCGCGACGCAATCCTCCAGCCATGGCGGCACCTGCCTCTGAAGCTTGACCGGCAATCTCTCCGGGGCAGAGCTGTGAAACCCCGCAGGCCCCACGAAATTTCCGAAGGCATCGCGATTTTTGTTTGCGTAAAGCGATGGCTATCGATGGCTTGTTGGCCCCTGGCATATGGGCCTAAAACATGTTCGGGCCTAAAGCGTCTGTATCGGAGATCTAGCGATTCTCTATGATTCTCTGACAGTCCAGGGGGAATATGCTGACAGGAGGTTTGATTGGTCAGTTATGGTCAGTTTGTCGTTGTGAAATGAGGTGTTTCATAGTACAGCTGTGAGCCGACAGAGACTGAGGAAACCTTGAAGATTTCCGATGGCAGCACTATGGTTTGTACCCCAGCACAGAAAAATTCCCACCAGTATTCAGCACGGATATTATCCTGTCTTGCGATGGTGTGTCGATGCATCATTTGTATGGCAAATCTCGTCATTACATGTCATTACTCCAAGTGAAAGGACCCAAGATGAATCCTTCTCTCTGTGGAATATGCCTTTGGAGTTTGCTTGCTATTTTTCAGCACAGCCGAAGCATGTTGAACCAGTTGCATCAGACAACATGTGCAAAAATCAGCGCTCAGCTGGTCCTGATGAAAGATTGTCATTTTGTCTCAGGAAATCACGCGTTTGCCGGACATTGATGATGCCACATGGGCCGAGGCAAGCTATCTATAGAATATATAGCTATCTCAAGATTCGTCGAAATTTCCAGCGATTTCCTACAAAAATGGGGCATTTTTGGTGACAGCCGTGCTGATCCCGGTCCTTTGGGACTGGTCCCAGCGGTCCCGGCCCAGGTGAAGCAGTATGTGCAGAGTCAGTTGCCTCAGGACCCAAGGTTCTGGATGTGATGGATGTGGCATGAGAAACATTGAGAAACAACACATTAGAATATGTAACGAATATACCATGTCTATGAATATCCAGACTCTGAAAAAAAGATCTCCGAATATCTTCAAATGTCTTCAATCTTCATGAGGATGGGAAAGGGATCGGAGCTTCTTGGAGCTGGTCTGGCAAAATCGAGGCAATCCGGACACGGCAAAGTCCTTACAGGGTTTCGCCAAGAATCCGGAGGCCCACCTCCGGGAATGGCCAGTCACTGTCAAGGCATCCAGTTGAGCATCCAGTTGCCTTATGTTCACAAAACCCATCAAAAACCCATCAAAAATGCTGTTGTTAAGATAGAAAGAAAGATCCATGAAGATCCTCGATCCTTGTTATATAGTAGCACAAGGCTGACTTGCACGAAGTCGTCGGAAAAAAGTGTGGGAACATCATGTTGGAACCGCTGTCATCTCAGGGTACCCCAAATTCCAATGGAGTATTCCATGGTTTCCCGATTGAAACAACACTTTTTAAGGAGTCTAGACCCGATTTTTTTTTACAGATCCCAATCAAATGGTTCAAAAAATTATTCAGAAATCGCCGGAAAGTAGCACCTGCAACATGCAGCTCGCCTGCAGGTACCCATGTTTGTGCCCACTGACAATGACAATGGGCATCCTATGAGTATAGTCTGTGAGGTAACATCCAAATCAACACAAGTATCGCGATGATATCGGGATGCTTTGAGCTTTTCTGAAACAGGGCTCCCGAATGGTCCCGATGAAAGTGACTGTATCATATCTGTATTATGAACTGTATGCTGTATAACCAAAAAACATCAATCACATCAATCGCTGAATTGATTGAACTCAAAGATTCGAGAATTGCCACAGCTGATCTTGGTAATCCGGCTACCGGTACGGAGAATTTTTTGCCGAAACCAATGAGTCAGGCCATGCGAGGTTGGTTGCAGACACAGGCCATCGCAGAGCATTACAACGCGCCATGAACCCAGCGGCGAGCGAAGAATCTGCGGTTTTGTGGACCCAAGAATCGGTGAATCCATTGGTGAATCATCACGAAAAAACCATGGTTTTTTTTGCCGCGTTTTCAACGACGTTTTTCACCAAAATGGAAGGACTTTGGAGGCCGGTACTTGTGAGGTCGCAGAATGGACTTTTGGTCACCAGTCACCCCCAAGAAATCCAAAAAGTGTGCCATGAAAGGTGCTGAACAGAAATTCAAGCCGGTTTCCAGTTGTTTATCTCAGGATTGAATCAGAACAGCAAGAGCGGGGAATGTATGTCTATTGGGGGCTACCTTTTCTTAGCGATACTAAACCGTGGAATTTGTGGGTGCTGTAGAAAGATGTAGAAAGGCTGTTTCGTAGGACAGGCTTCTCAGTTCGTCATTCCCAGGAAGCTTGCCACCGGGGATGCTCCTGTGCAGGAGACCAGACATTGAAAGAGGGCATGACCTGTCACAGTGTTTCCATTGCACATAATGTCAACCCCGGATGAGACTAAACCATGGTTTATTTATTAGGGGGGTCCCCAAATAGTCATGTCATCTGATACTTACTTTTTTATGGTATCCCCCCAATTAAACAACCATAAACGGGGTTTATTCATCCAGGGTTGACTAGTAGAAAAACCATCTGCTGTCAGCTACGCTTCGCAGTAATGCCGTGGCGAGTGACAATATCTTTCCATGGGACTGCTGAGGCCTAGAGGCCTAGATCTCTGGAATTCTTCATCTTGCCAGTTTATGCCTGTCACAAAACAATAATGGTCATTAATGGTGATTAATAGTGATTAATGGTCATCAGTGAACACTTTTCCAAGACCAATTCACAATCATTCGGGAGAAAATGACTCATCGGCGACCATAGCAATCGATCAGGGTCAGTGCAGTAAATGCCCTTGGGCTTCAACCGATTCCTTTGATGAAACCCGATGAAAACTTGAGGGAACCAAAAAAATGTGTTTGACAAACGACGCGGCCCATTCTCATCCATTCTCACAGTTCCATGTTCCACCCCTATTAGGTGTAGAACCCCTTTTCAACATTGCGAAAGCCCACGGTTTCATCAGCAATGGAAATCTTTGGTGCCTGGTTACCTATGACGCAGGTAAGTGGGCCAGTTCCCAAAAATCGTAACTGGACAGGTTTGGATTTGCAACCACTTTGAAAGGGTGACATGTTCTAAATCCAATCATAAATATCACAAATCATCCATCATCCCCAAGAACTTGAGGTTTATGAAATTGGGATTTTTCTTGGGTGTACCATGGTGTACCGCTACGATTGGGATGATGTAAAATGACCAAATGACCAAATGACCATCGTGATGATTTTGGCGTCCTGATCCACCTGCCAGGACAAAGTGAAGTCGCTCGAGCATGATCCAGAATTACAGACCATGTTCGAGGCGAGGATTCTGCGCGAAGCCGGGAGAGCCCGGGAGGTTCTGAAGATAGCTTGAAAAACGTTGAAAAACAGCTGAAAGATGTTGAAAACAACTGAAACATGCTTAAACATGCTGAGTTTGTAGCAGGATCTCCATTTTTGTTGCAATTGTTGGGGAGCTGTTCATGGAGAGCCCACCTGAATTTGCATTGCTGCACCATGACGTTTTTTTTGTTCCTAATTATATACGCTGATAAATGCACCTTGGAAAAACCATGTGGCATACTAACCAGCCTGTGAGACGAGTAAATGAAACTTTGCACTAGGAGTATAACTGCTTGATGAATTTCTGATGAGCAGATGTTTGCAATTCCAACTCTGACCTTGTCGCAGGATATCCGGAAGAATGGCATGGAAGCTGCATTGAAATACTACCAGGACTCAAAGATAGACAAAGTCCGCGTGGATATGCTCCATGATGGTTTTTTCTGACATATAACTGGTTGGTATATGGTTTCAATGTGGTTTCTATGTGGCTTCTGTTTGGCTTCGATGTGGTTTCTATTCCGGAGAGCGCCTGAGCCAAGGGTTCTTCAGAAGAATCAGGTCGGCTATACATTTGCACATCTTACATTTGCACATCCTCACATCTTACATCTGTACATGTTGCATTTGCACATCCCACATCCTCACACCTCGCATTTGTACATCCCGCATCCTGGCATCTTACATCTTGACATGATTGAAATGCAAATTTAACATCCTCACATCTTAAAAACTGCACATCTCACATCTTCTCATCTTCACATGTTTCACATGCACATCTTACATCTTCACATGTTCTTCACATGTTACATCTGCACATCTCGCATCCTGACATCTTACAACTGTACATTTTACATCTTGACATCTTGCATCTTCACATGTTCACATGTTCATATCTCACATCTTCGCATTTCTCATCTTCACATCGTACGTCTTCACATCTTACATCTTCACATCGTTCAATTTACATCTGCATATCTCACATCTTCTCTCTCCTTCTCTCTCCTTTTCTCTCCTTCTCTCTTCTTCTCTCTCTCTTCTTCTCTCTTCTTCTCTGTTCTTCTCTCTCTCTCTATCTCTCTCTCTCTCTCTCCCTTTTTGTCTCTTCCATCTAATTCTCTCTTCTTTCTGAAGGCAAGGGGTGTTGCCGACAGGGCTCCACGAAACATAACCTTTTTGCATGAAATGAAGGTCAAGTGCCAATAAATGGGGTCCTTTCGAACAAAATGATGGTCAAGCGTCAAAAACTAAACTAAGATTAAAATGCTATTTTGAAAGGCCCGCTGCAACCCTGTCGCTGTGTGGGAGCATCTGTGTGCAAAAGCTGCTCTGTGTAAAGGCGTCCATGTGTAAAAGCTTCTGTGTGTAAAACCGTCTCTGTGTAAAAGTTTCTGTGTGTAAAGTCGTCTCTGTGTAAAAGCCTCCGGGTGTAAAAGCCTCTGTGTGCAAAGGTTTCTCTGTGTGAAAGCTGCTCTGTGTGAAAGCTGGCCTGTAGCAGCGAAGGTAAAGCCAGGTCTGTGTATGTGTTCACATGTGTATGCCAGTATATGTGTGTACGTTGTATAGGTGTGTGTGTGTGTACGTATAGCTTTGCTGCGATTTTGCGTAGAATGTCGGTTTGTCGTTCTGAGCATCTCCTTCTTACATACTACTTAAATTCAGATCATTCATCATAATAGTCTAACATTCACCTGAGTACTTATACTCGTTTGCGCTCTTGGGCCATCCGTCCTCTAGTGTTTTTTTCCATGTTTCTATCTGGTTTCCTCTAGTGGTTTCTATGTGGTTTCCTCTAGTGGTTTTTGGATGTGCTTTCCCTGTGATTTCGATATATGCAGCGGCTGGCGGGTGGAAAGATTATCCTTAGCAGTTGTTTTTACCACAGCACCTCCAAAATGTGGTGTCAGAATTCGAAGAACTTGCAATGTATTTTTCCATATGCGCAAGTCCAGATGTGTGATTCATTAAAGCTGACATGTATTTGAGTTCTCTCAGCGATTTCTTTGCGAAATATGTTGCGACCTTGTAACATCCACGGAGGAAAAAATCAATCACAGTTGAACATCAGTTGAACATACTTCATATATACATCACATATATCTTCATATATCTTCATATTGCAGTGGACAATAGACATATAGACATCGACATCAATGGAGGCGGCCGACCTGATAGGATGAGGAGCTGATGCAGAAGATCTCTCAGAAGATGGGAGGTTGCGGCATTGATGGATGGGAAGCTGAAGCAAGGTGACTCTACCCTCTGGTTATGTCAAAATAGCTATTGAAAATGGCCATTTATAGTTGATTCACCCATTGAAAATGGTGATTTTCCATAGTTTCTTGTATGTTTACCAGAGGGTAGATGTTTTCTGGATGTTTCTAGATGTTTCCCGGATTCTTTTGGGCACAAGATGGGCACCACCTGGTGGGTCTCCGTCGCCCTTTGCGGGCAGGTCTCCCTGCTGATCTCCAACCTGTGTTGAAAAAGATTGAGGACAGCGGTGGGGCTGGAGGATCAATGTACTTTGTCAAATCGGCTGGAAGTTGCTGGTTCTGGGCCATACCCTCTGGTAAACAGTCCCAAAAAACTATGGAAAATCACCATTTTTAATGGGTAAATCCACTATTTCTATGGCGATTGTCAATAGCAAACTATTAGTCATTACCAGAAAGTCACTGATCTGAAAAGATCATTGGATTGCAGCAGTTGCTACTCCAGAGGATCACTTAACTGTTCAGCCCACAGGAAACATCCCTGACTCTTCATGAGGCACTGGCCGGTCATCGGGGATGCGGATAGGGTCCATGTGTACTCCTAGGTACTCAAGCTGAAAAGCTGAACGCAACTGCGTGGAGTGTAGGTTGGTTTGCAGCTACATTTCTGAATATCTTCCTGAAGTAAAATGAGAACAGTCAGAGAGAGAGAGAGAGAGCAAGCGAGCGAGAGAGGTCATCAATCATATCAATCCAAGTAATGTCAACCCTGGATTAATAAACCCCTAGGCTGTTTAATTGGGAGGATACCATTTAAGTATTAGATTATGACTATTGGAGGAGTACCCCCTTAACTAATAAACCATGGTTTATTAATCCGGGGTTGACATTACTTATCATACTTTGCAAGGGTGTGACATGCAGGAATGCAACAGCAATCTATAGCAATCCCCCTGCAACCACTTCCTTTTTTCAAAGCGCACTAAAGCAACCGAGACACAAACATACACAATCGTGGAATAGAGGGTGCCTCATCCCATAGTAAAACCCTTGAACTAGACTTGCAATGTAGCCCTTTCCTCCCCACATTGCCATAGTTGAGGCAAGGTGCAAGTCTCGAAAGACAAAATTTCCTTAGGAATTGAGGGCCCCTGATTGTAGCCTCAGGAGTTTACACCTTTTGCATTTTGATTGATGCCCAGAGCAACTTCGAGTTGACCCACTTGTTTCCGGGCCTCATGGGGCCTTTAAATTCTTTCGTGCAGTCAAGACCCTGATTCTTGCATGTCTTAAACCATTCGGTGCGGCAAGCCGCCATCATCCCGCATTATTTTTTTCCAGCTGTACAGTGCCCCTTCTGCATAGCACTGCTCGAATACTTCACATTGGCACTATGAAATAAGCTTTAAGTATTAGCTTCGCTGCCAGCACCCACATTCTGGGGGTGATGTTTGGAAAGGATCATCTTCCAACTGGTACTAGTTTAGAAAGGTGACTTTCAGGCGGAGAAAAAAGCTGAATGGGTTGGACAGAATGACGCATAAGAACCATCAGATTCCAAGGGGAAGTTGGTTCCCAGACACGCAGGGAAAATTTTATAGGAACCCCATGAAACATCATGAAACCCCCATATTCTCAGCTCATTTCTCCCTATAATTCCCTATATTTAAGGCAGTTCCCTTACTGTAAATCAACCCGTTTAATTTAGTGGCCCAGTGATTGGTTGGATTTGGTTGGATGGTGTTGCATCCTCGAGGCCGCAAAGAACGGCGACCTAAAAGCAGTGGAGGCGGCGACGATCTGACAATCTGAGTGGCTCCGATATTCAAAGCAAATGAGACATTAAGAATCAAGAAGAGTAGATTGATAGGTTGCAAACAGATTTGGTGGATTATATTGATTGGGATTTCATCAGATTTCCGAGGTCAATCTTTGAAAAACATCTTGCGGCATCCCTGATCCAGGAATTTCTTCAGAAGAACAGGCCGCTGGATGCACAGGACCACAAGGGCATCACGGCCCTAGGATATTCCATTGGTACGAACCGCATTGCAGTGGCACCGTGGCAGAATTTGGCACATCGTAGGTTTTTTGCCGTAGCAAACTGGGGTGTCCTTATAAATGACCCGCCTTTATGGATGGTTTATAATGGAAAATCCTATGAATCAATGGATGATTTAGAGGTAGCCCACAATTCGGGAAACCTCCAAATAGCCATTGTTGCATGATTTTGAATAAGAACGATGACTAATCAGCAGATTTGGGGATACCCTAAATGGCGCGAAATTGTGCGGGCATGACTGCTGGAGTTTCTTCTTATGTGCCTCTCCGCGCATGTTATAAGACAGGTACTTGACAGGCACATGCGTAGTTGTGTAGCAATGGGTTCGATACAGAGAGTAGCAGAAACTGGCTGGTGAGCCAGGGCCAAGCGAGAGACTGAGGGTAGAACTTGCTGGTGCAGGGCGAGTGAAGGGTGACTTCTGGAGTTTCTTCTACGCTGCGCACCTGGAACTCTTCAGGCATCACAGACTGAGTCACACACCGAAGGAATCTCAAAGACGCAGCGTCTTGCAGCTACTGTGCGTGTGATCACGGCGGTAACATGCAAGACCATTCCAAATCTCGACCTGTGTGGGGAAATTGATGGATGAAGGGCCCATGTTCCTGCATAGCCTAGATATTTTCACATGTCCAAAGGCGAGAGCATTCAAGCGATTCAAGAAGCCTCCTTGTGGTTTCACATCATAGATTGTGCCCATATTTACCATCTTGGTTCGTTACTTGAAGAGGTACTTGGGTCGCCCTTCCAATATATAGCGAGGATCCTGGGGCAGATAAAGTCGCACGGCTGTGCAGATGTGCACGACGAATGACATTGAGCTAGAAGGAAGTGAAGTCTGCCGCGGGAATGGCCAGGTATGTCCTATGTTCCCTCCAGTTGGCGTTCAAATTAATCATGAATCTTCATCTCTCGAAGACGGTTGGTGACATTGGCATCACAGAACTTAACGAACTGGGGCCACGGTTGCCCCCATTGACTCACAAGGCAACGCTCAGAATAGATCATATTAGATTAGTTTTTTCATAATACCCTCCAGTACACTATAACATTATGGAAAATCATCATATATCATCATTTAAATCACTAATGATATATATCATCACATATCATAATTTTCAGAATAAATCATCTAGAAGGAGTTTTCCATAGCTATGTTAGTTTACTGAAGGGCAGCCATGGTGCGCGAAGTCGCTCCTAGGTCAAGCTGCTGCTGGAGTCACGAGCCAATCCTTATGCCGTGGACAGTAATGGCCCCGTGGCAAAAAAGTGGTGGTGGAGCCCAAAACGTTAGCTGAGTTGGTGTTTTAACTCCAATAACTATATGGAGGCTTCCATAAATGATAAATGGGGGCACCCCAAAAATGATGGTTTATAAGGGAAAATCCATCTATAAATGGATGATTGGGGGGTACCACCATTTTAGAAAAAACCACCATATATTGTTTATGGATGTTTATGGTAGATTTATCATGGTCGAAGGAAGTTTAGAAGTCAAACTTCCGACAATATGGACAGATGAAAAGCAGAGTAGGGGAGAGGCAGAGAGAAGAGGAAGATTAGAAGAGAGAAGATGAGAAGAGAAAGAGTCAGAAGAAAGAAGATACAGATGCGCGAAAAGGTAGGCAAGTCGCGAAACACTGTGTTTTTCCAATGGTTTGTGGCTCAGGAGGGTCGAAAAGTAGGCTCGCTAAAGCGGCGGGTGCGGAGCCAGCTGGTCACAGGAGCGATGAAAAATTGCACGCCGTTGTGGCGCGAAGCACATTTCCAAGTCAAAAGGCGCAAAACACCTCAGCGTCGGACGACTTTTGGAAGTTGCGATGTCGAAAAAGTGCACGCCGTTGCGGCGCGAAGCACATTTCCAAGTCAAAATGCACAAAACACCTCAGCTCCGGACCACTTTTGGAAGTTGCGATGTCGAAAAAGTGCACGCCGTTGTGGCGCGAAGCACATTTCCAAGTCAAAATGTACAAAACACCTCAGCTTCGGACCACTTTTGGAAGTTGAGATGTCGAAAAAAGTGCACGCCGTTGTGGCGCGAAGCACATTTCCAAGTCAAAAGTGTTAAAAGCTGGCGGTCTCGGACCACTTTTGGAAGTTGAGATGTCGAAAAAGTGTCGAAAAAGTGCACGCCGTTGTGGCGCGAAGCACATTTCGAAGTCAAAAGTGTAAAAAACTGAGGGTTTTGAGCCTTTTTTGACGTGAAGATGTCGAAAAAGTAGACATTGATTAACTTAACTAACTTGACTAACTTAACTAACTTCACTAACTTAACTACCCTAACTTCGACAACAACAGCAACAGCAACAACAACAACAACAACCACAACCACAACCACAACAACAACAACACCAACCACAACAACTACAACAACTACAACTACAACAACTACAACAACTACACGACAACTACAACTAGAACTACAACTACAACAACTACTACAACAACAGCAACAACAACAACAACAGCAACAACTACAACTACAACTACAACTACAACTACACAACAACTACAACTAGAACTACAACTACAACGACAAGTACAGCTACAACAACAACAACAACTACTACTACTACTACTACTACAGCAACAACAACAACTACAACTACAACAACTACAACAACTACAACAACAACAACCACCACTACTACTACTACTCCTCCTTCTACTACTACACTACTACTACTACTACTACTACTACTACTACTACTACTACTACTACTACTACTACTACTACTACTACTACTACTACTACTACTACTACAACTACACTACACAACAACTACAACCACACAACAACTACAGCTACAACTACGACAACAACTACAACTACAACAACTACAACTACAAAACAACTACATCTACAACTATATGACTGCAACTACACTACACTAATTACATTACACCACAACTACAACTCCACTACGCTACAACTACAACTACAGTTGCAGTACATCACACTACATCCAGCAGTTGTGGGTGAGGTGACCACTGCAACCATCATTGCGACCATTCCAGCAAACACAACTCCAACCACCTTTCGGTCAATCAGTGGATTCGCTCTGCCATCCGTGATTCACAACAACCAACGTCTCCTATAGGTTTCCTATTCTGAAACTTCCGCCACCGCCTTGTGCGGTACTACTGGTATATTTGTAGTTGATGGGGGTTATTATCCAACAAAACATGTCATATTGGGCTAGATACCCAACATGCGAAGATGTAGAGAAGTTACAGTAGATGCTCCACCTGAATAGCAGTGTGGAACCCAATGCTGCGTCCTGCTGTAGTTTTCTCTGAGCAGATTGAGCAGGTACTTATGACTCTCTCAACATGAAACAACACTGTAGTTGGTCAGGGAGCTGAACACAAGCCAAACCATGGCGATCCAAGCTGATGAAATGCAAAGGAAGTTTAGACAAGAAACTTTCGTCAATGCACAACTGTAGCTAACCAATTCAACCACTCAGCAAGTCGCCTAGCAATATCAATCAATGAGAAAGTGTCACTAGCTCGCTAGTCAACTGAACAGCTAGCATCAGCTAGCAGCTGGGGGATTTATCAGAGTAGGGTGACAGTCAAAAAGTGTGCGAGACACGTTTGTGCAGGTCTTCTGTTGTCAGGACTGCAGAAAATGTTGACGTGTTCCATGTATATTGGCCTGGTTGAAGAAAGAAAGAAAGAACGAAAGAAAGAAAGTGCGCGAGACAGTGTTTCTGCAGGTTTCGACCACTCTCCGACCACTCTCGCGGTTTCGCGGTTCTGCTTGGGGGAGAAACACTTGGGACTAGCGCGGGAAGGTGTGTGTCTGGTAAAGTTCTCGATTTCGCGCGACCTTCCTGTGAAATGGAGGAGGTTTCTAAACGCACTGTAACAGCACGGCTAGAGCTGGCAAGGCAACACCGGGCTGCACTACGCTGCGGGCTACGGTCGCAAAGAATTGGTGGAGTATTTATTGAAGGACCGGGATGCGACACCGCCACATGGTCATAGCTGGTCATCGCCAGTGTTTTGGGGTGCGACACCAGGAGGCTTCTGCCAGTTGCATTTCTAGATGATGTTTACCAACTGCAAGTCGTAGGTACATAGAATATTCCTTAACACCTTGCCTGGCATGAGATGTCATAGTGTCCAAATTGGTGGATGTGTTACACAATGTTACACATACTGAGTGTCCAATCCGTGCAAAGCCCGAGACAGATTTTCGCCAAATTCCACGCCACAGGTGGGCATTAATGTGAACCATCTCAACGCTCAAAGCCAAACACCTCTCACGGTGGCACAGATGAACAAACAGGAGGCAGGACTCTCGCTGTCTGATCCGCTGGGAGAATCCAATACTGGGCATCTCAAAGTGGGCTATAGCCACACTTCTCACGAAAATGATGGGATGTTTGCAGTGATCAAGCGATAAACCATGCGATAAACCATGGGATTTTGCTGTATCCTATTTTCAGACATGCCGAAATGTCCATCTTCGTCAGGCCACGATTCAGCTCTTACGCGCCCATGGCGCCCAGTGATGGCCGACAGTCCATATGGCACGAAATGATAAGAAATGCCGAAATGCCAATGAAGTGTCCTCAAAAACTCAATGTACGGTGCCCTAACCATCCCAACCAGAATTCACATTTTTCCGTGCATTGGATGTGAGTTATTTTTATCATAGTTCACATGTTTGATTTGTTTCAGTTGAGAACCATTCAGTGTGACACCAGAAAAAAAAATCAGGAAGTGATCGTGATTGGCGCCTATGTCAGATATGAAAAAATCTGGCCATTCGTAAGACGAACTTGGTGTTGAAAGATGGACATAGATGGCATAGTCAGATAGCTGGAACCTAACAAACCTGGTAACCTGACCTAGCACCTCGCTGACACAACGAGACTTCCTGTGCAATGTGGGTTCCTGCGAGAGTGATCTAATTGTGGTCCAGGACTCTCTTGGAAGGGAAGGAACATGTTCGAACAGTTTCATGATTGACTGTATGTTTGTATATTCTTGTAAGATGAACAATAGGGATTGAGATATAGTCACAGCCGAATTCGGGAGGTCGTCAGATGGTGCTATCTATTTTTTTAATATTGAACAAGGTTGCAGCTTGCAAGCTTTCTCCCCACTGAGACTTATAAAAAGAGAAGAAAAGAAAAGACACCAAGTCCAAAACGCTGCGTTCTCCACAGCACCGAAGAAACCACTGCGCCACTGCGCAATCAGCACTGGGACGAGCTGGCGCCAATAACTTGGGTCATACTTAATGGTTGGGCGTTGATTATGACCAAACATACTCTCCAGCAATCAAAGTTGGCTGGGAAATCCACTATAAGTAGGGTGTTGGGAAAATCATACGCCCATCATCCAAGTGGGCACGCAATAATCGTCCCATCAGTTTGGTGGAAAAAAAACACGCACCATTTTGCTCAGTAATTTTCCGTGGACATTCGATATTCCCTTCAAACCTTGTCTCGAAACCCCACCTTCTCCCACAATCATTTCTTCGTTCATTCATTCATTCATTCATTCATGCATTTGTTCATTTGTTCCTTTGTTCCTTTGTTGAACCTTTTGTTTTTTTCATTGTTTCACTTTTTATTCATTCCTTTTATTCATCCATTTATTCATATGTTCCTTCCTCTCGTCCTTTTTTTCTTGTCATTCAATCATTCATTCATTCACTAACTCATTCATTCTTTCATTCCCTCGTTTATTCTTTCGCGCATCCATGTTTCATTCACGCTTTCCTACGCTCATGCGGGCCATTCTTTTTCTCGCGCATTCGTTCTTTCACGGGATGGCATTTCGTCTTATCGGACGTTCGATCTTTGTGGAAGACATCTTGCGCGCTTTATCAATGAATCTTCCAGATTACGGACCAAATTCATTCCTTCATTCGTTTATTTCTTCGTTCCTTCGTTCCTTCATTCTTTCCTTCGTTCCTTCATTCCTTCCTTCGTTCCTTCATTCCTTCCTTCGTGCCTTCGTTCCTTCCTTCGTTCCTTCGTTCATTCATTCACTCATTCATTCATCCATCCATCCATGCATCCATCCATCCATCCATGCATCCATGCATCCATCCATGCATCCATCCATGCATCCATCCATGCATCCATGCGTCCATCCATCCATCCATGCATTCACACATTCATTCAGTCATTCATCTTGACGCTCATCACTCATCTCTTCGCTTCTTCATTCGTTGGTTGATTGAGTCAGCAGTTTTTTCATGCATGTTTTTTCAAAGCCTATGCAACGCCGCACAAAATGTCTTATACGCCAACGATCTTTTTATGGTCGTTTCTCTCTTTAAAGACTTCAGCCCCGGCGTGGCCGGGCACTCTCTGTACGCCAAACAGCATAGAACATGACATGAATAT